TCCACATTTAACAGCAGAACTCTCACACAACTTGTGCAGTATAATCCAAGTCCTATTCATCCAGTTGTTTGCTCAGTACTTCCCAAACACATGCATTTTTACTATAAACTTACTATTTAAAAAACTTCTTTATAAAGTCTCATGCACAGACGAGGAGCGTTGAAAGCACAAGCGGAGTTCAAGCACACACGCTTGCCAAGCTCACTACTTGTATGCAGGCGTGTTTTAAATATTGAGAAATGAGACTTGGATGATACTGCAGGAGCTGTGCGAGAGTTTGTAAACAGGTGTTTTGATATAGTTTTGCTGGAATTAAAGAGGTAATTCACTGCTAGAAAGATGGTCTTTTCATAAAATTGGGCCATCGATGCAGTAGAAAGAATAAAATACTTTTGAAATTGGTGCTACAAAAGAAAAGGAAGGCGGCATTTGCTTTTGCTCAAGAGTTAGAGAACCTACAACCACCAGAATGCACTGCACCTCACCAGACCAACAAATGCTCCAGCTGGTGGCTGACGTAATGTGAGCTTGGCTGTTTTTTCCACAGGAAACAATATGGCGGCCGACTGGTAACAAACAATCTTGACTACAGTTGATTTGTAAGCTAAAGTATGTTTCTGAAAAGAAAAGGCAAGAAATGGGCAACACAGTAGAAAATCTTGGTTCATATTTCATCTGCACTTCTTAGTTTTACTGTTTGATGTCACTGTGCATTCCAGTACTACCATGCTAGTATGCAAGAAAAAGATTTAGTATGTCCCAAAACATATGTTAAATGCAGCCAAAAACACCACAATGTTCTGCAACATCCGGTCCAATTTTGCAGTCTGCAAGCCAGCATGATTTTCTGGCTATTCCAACCCACAATCCTCTGTGCAGTGGACGATACCTCACGTTGACTGCCCAGCAGAGATGATAGCTTGACAGCTGATTGGCCAAGAGGGTCAAAGTACAGGGTGTAATGTTAAGAGATAGTGGTATGTCCCGATTGTGTGCGTACTGTATGCAACAGTACAGACTTTTTAAGGGAAGCTGCAGTGCCTATTAAAAGTAAAAAGAAAAAGTAAGCATCCACTTCCTGTTTACAAACTCTTATATTACAGCGAAACAGTGCACTAAATTACATTTCTAGCAACATTTTAGGTGAGAAATCGGCAACGCAGTAACAGAATTTGATCAGCATCGTTCACTGCCGAGGCATGTGAGATAAACAAAATTTACCTCATGAATTCAACATAACATGGAGTGACTAACTGCTGATCATTTTGTGGATAAGTACTCCTTTAATACCCATGATTTACCAACACCAGTCAGCGCACGATGAACAACTTGTGACAAATGTCTGTTTGTAAGCTCCCAGCTCCTGTTTGTCTTTTTTTTCTCATGACATGCCAAAAAAATCCTGTTACTCTAAACGTGTGTAATTACAACCTGAAGCAAAACACTTGAACATAAACTTTACTTAAGAGATCATATAAGAAGTGTGTTATCTACACAGGTCACCTGAAGCTGAAAGTCACTGGCCTGTTGAAGCAAAACTGTCAGTCTAAAGCTGGTGTGTAATGTTTGTAGAAAACATGTTTAATTCAGATACTTTAGAGGATTGTTAACAACTTAACGCAGAGCATGTCACGCTGTTTAAAGACATGACTTACTCTTAATGACATACTTACCTGTCTTGTGTTGCAAGTGTCTGAGTCTGATGCCATGAGAAATGTCTGTCATACTGACCACATATTGTCTGGAGGGGTTGGCGGTGGACTATGACAGCAAACACGGACAGAATTTAAAAGGGATATGGACACACAGGGAGGCAGGCAAACAGAAAGGGAAAGCAGAGCCAGAGAAACGGTGAGAAGAGTTTCTAACGCTCGATGTTTCAGTGAAAGCTCTCTGTCTGACATGTGATCTAAATGGATTTTTAAAAAAACATTTCTTATGTTTTTACAGACTGTAAGACACGATGAAGCTGCAGACTGCCCTTCTGTTGGTCTGTCTATTCAAGACAAGCTTTGCTCTTCCAGTGAGTAGAATCTCTTGCTACAGAATATATTTCTCATATCATTTTAAATGGCAGAGATAAAGAGCTATTTTTTGTGTATTTCAGGTACAGATTGGAATCATCGCAAGCAACAGCAATGAGGTAAATATATCTGCTAAAACTTTTATGTTTGTTGCTTGCTAAGTCAAAATCTGTTGTCATATAGGAATAATATTACCAAATTTAATACAACCTTTTATGTGTTCAGCTCCTACGACTGAATGGACTAACTTTTGCAACACTTGGACAAACACAGGTAATGGAAGCACATTTTTATCTTTTACATTTTATTATCTGTATCCCTTTGTCTGATTAAAAAGCTTGACATGTGTGTACCAAAAAAAAAATTTCTCAACTGACCCAAATCCCTTCATCTCCAGGCGTCTTCACTAATACCCCAGTATGTGCTGCAGCAGCAGCAGCCCGAGGTGCTGCTCACCCCACAGGTGGTGAACTTGAACCCGCAAGTGACCGGCCCCTTCGGTCCCCAGGGGCCTCAGCTGTTTCTCCCCAACCAGGGCAACCAGCTAACGCCTGTGATCCTCCCCAACGGCCAGCAAGAGCAGCTTGGACCTCCACAGGATCCCAACAATCCTACTATCCCTCAGCAGGTCCAAAACCCTGTTCAGGTATTAAGCAGCATGGAGAATACTGGTACCATGTAATGTGATTACTTTGTATTAACACTGAAGCTGCTGCCGCTCACAGTCATATGATGAAATCAGTAACTGTTTTAAATTTTCTTTAGATGTTTCCAAATTTCCAGTATCCATCTTATAGATATCCTCAATTTCCCAGACAGCAGGTATGAAGGAAAACATATTGACCCATCTGCAAACCTTATTCTGTTTATGAAGATGCCAACATCTGATTTAAACTGATTTTATCACCCACAGGGCTTCCCTTACTTTTTGCCTCCATACGGCTACCCCCAGCAGAGGAACACTGCCGTGCTGCAGCCGAACAACGGTCAGCAAAAGCTGGAGAGAACCACACAGAGACCACAGCTCCCTCTGCAGGTGAGACATACAAAATGACATGTACAGAAAAGAAGGCTTCTCTGTGCTTATGCATAAAACAGCAAATGTTAACATTAAAACAATACACTGTCTAAGTAAAGATGCCTTTATAAAACACCAGTGTAGAAGTGCTCAGTGCATATTGGCTGCACATTGACTAAACAATTAGAAATAAAGGGGAAAAAAGAGCCCAAATTCTTTACTGTGTCTGTCAGCTATCCTTCGCTAATTTGAATTATGGTTAAAAACAGATGCAGCAGACTCTGATGACTAAAGACTAGACTTAATGATAATAACATAGCTGCAGGTGTTGAGTCAGGTGCGGTGGCTGTGATGCAAAGTCGACTGTCTGCCCTGCTGACCACACACTGTTGAAATCATGTCACCGCAGTCACATTTTAGTGTTACATAAGTGTTGCATGATACCCCTCTGCTGCTTAAATGTTTCATTAATTAGTACTACTGACTGATTTATTTGGTCATTTGTTTATTTGTGGTGATATAATTTATTTCTTGTTAGTTTCGTGAAGATGATGCTTGTAGTTCAGTGTGGGTGTGGTTTACTTACATATATTATTATGTATTTTTGCTGTTGTTTTATATTAATTTGTTTGTTGTTTATTTTATGTCACGTATTAATGTCTATTAATGTAATAGTTTTGAATTTGAATGGGTTTTTACCTCAAAATATAAAATTTAAATAAAACACTTAATATATGTAGGCTGTATTTGATATTCAGGGACCGGTTGCACAAAACACCTTAAGTTTTCTATGTAAGTGTGAGATGTAGGACTTAATTTCCTCTTAGTTGAGGGACTTATTTAAGGGTGTTGCACAGTTCAGTTCAGGACTAGGTGTTAGAATCCCTTTAAACACATACTTGAGACTATGAGTGGGAGTGATGGTGCTGTCTGGGTGTTTCTGAGTGGGAGCCAAAGGGTTAAGGTTAGATGGATACAAAAGGAAAGCGCATAGTTAGATGGAAAAGGAGCATAGGAGAGACATGGACAAGGACTCAACTCTCCTCCGCTGGACTGGGCTGTACAACAGAATCCTTCATAGAATCCCTTAAAATGATTCTTAGTTAAGGAAAAAGCTTAAGGGATTATACAGTGATAAAATTCTGCAGTTTCCACAGGAACTGTTTATTTGCTTGCAGTCATGCTTGTGATACCTAAGGTCTTTTGTGCAACTGTTTAAGGATTCTGTACATATAACACCAAGATAAGGAGAAAACCTTAAGTATCAACATTTTGAGGAAACCTTAAGGAGAAGACTTTTGGTGCAGTTTTCTTGTTTGTAATCTAATTTTCCTGCACATCTTCCCATTTCAGCAGGCCTCCCAGCCTAAGGTACAAACAGAAAGAGTGAGTACACAACATAACTTCTTAATTTTTATAATTTCACCACTAAACAAAAGAGAGTTTGCACCAGTTGTGTCTAATTGTTTTTGTAACTTCCTATCTCCATCAGACCTGGCCACTGGGGACACAGAAAGAGACGACCACAATTCCTCCTGATCCTCGTGGCGACACATCTGGCCCAGGAGTTGATGAGGTATCATTTTATACAGTGACACTCAACCCTTAAATCTTCCATGCATTCATGTCCAAGCACGCACACATACAAAATACATGTCACTGTCATTTATCTGTGCAGGATTTCAACTGTTTTGTTTTATGTTTCTCCAGGGTCGCTCCAACTTCCCCTTCCTGTTTGAGCCTTAGATTTCACCTGGGAAGTCGCAACGAGGGGATCACTCAAAAATGCATTCATGTGTGTTTGGCCAAGTCGCTCATTCCTCTGCAAAATGTGCTGGCCGTTCTTCCAAATGCAATTTTTATTTGTACTCATTTCTTTTTATATGACACTGAAACGGTTGCTCCTCACTCTCACAACAGGTCAAATAAATAAACAACATAAAATGATTTGTTGAAGACTTTTATTGTGTCACACAGAAATTATGTTTTTACTCAGAAAATGCACAATGACATGAGTGATTTCTCTGAATGTATCACAGGAAATGACACCACAATCTACTTTAAAATGGTCGATTAACCTTGTAGTTGTTGGTGTCCTCCTGTGGGAAGTGTGAGATAAGAACAATTGTCAGCAGCAGTAATTAAATAGATAATAAGGTAATAAAACATAATCAGTATCACACCATTTACACTCACCTTTTACAGTTGTCAGTAGTCGTCTTCAAAAATGTCTTCGCCTCGAACAAGTTCCCCAGGTTTCACCTTGAAAATAAAATTCAAAATTAACCACACAAGCCAGATCTCAAATTAAAGAAACAACAGGACATATTTTTCCCAAATAATGTGCATAATATCCCGGTTGAATATACCATAAAGTAATAGGTCTATGACTTGCACATTTCCTGGTGATTAAATGGCTGCACATACCAACAAAAAAGCCTTGAATAACAGTTGCATGGTAGTGGAAATAGGAAGCTAGAACTTTGCTTTTGGAGACAAATATTGTAGAAAATGGATTCAGACATTTACATGGTGCCATATGCTTACAAATCACATGTACTTACGGGCTTCATAACCCCAAACTCGATGGATACCTTGTTCTTCAAATGTAAAAAGAGAAATAATGATCAGCATTGAAGACACGTCTATTAAAAAAATCATATCATGTGCAGTAAACAGTAAGGCGATTACCGGCTCCATGGCTTTGTAGATGAGCTTCACATATTGCTGCGATTGAGATGGAGAGAGACAAAAATCTAAATGCTGCTGTCTTAAAATTAAGTCAAAGATCCAACCAACAAACTATAAATCCCAAACAAACCAGCCAAAGCCCAAAATAAAGTTTTTTTAAAAAATATATTTGACTGAAATCAAAGTATACCCCAGGTCCGCGTCTTTCTCCCCTCCTCTTTTCCTCCGGACGAGGTCCTTCTTCACCCTCCCGTGGCTGTACATGTTAGTCATTAGCATTCAATAATTATGATTTATTTTAACTGTGATTAAACTTAATAGTGAAATCGATTCTTCAGTCACTTACCCTCACCATCCGAAACATGGTCTCCCCCTGCAAGATTTTGAGAGTCAGCGCACTGGTAATATTTCACAGGATGGTGTAATTCACAAAATAAAAATGAAATCAAGTCACTAAATCACATTGTTTACCTCCTGCAGGGGCACAGCAGAGGTGCTCTATGGGTAAAAGTCACGCGATAAGATGAAAATGTTAATATTCAGTGAGGTCTGTCATGTCAGACATACAGTACACTGTGTATGCCTTCTTATCTCACCTGAAACGTCACGCCGTCAACCTGAAAAGGAATTAATAACAAAAGAAAATCTGAGTTTCTGACAACTGTCCTGGTGAATTTGAATGTGTATAAATCACATTTGGAGATGACAGCAGGCCTACCTTGAACACAGGAGAAAGCTCCTACAACAAGAAAGAAATAATAATTGTCATGTTTTGTCATGAAGCAAAATAATGCTGATGTTTCAGTTCAGTAGTAAAGATTTTAAACCAGCCTTCAAATGCAGGCATCAAATTTTGCAGCAACAGACGTAAAAGTAAAGGAAATAGAAGGAGTTTTAGCAAACCCCAACTCCACAAACCCCAACATTTTTTTTCATCAGAGTACAGATATATTGTCATTGTGAACTTACCATTGGTCTCCTGTTGGGCCTCCTGTCCCCTGAAGGTCCTCTGAGTCTCCCAGGAGGAGGGACTCCACGCTCACCAGGCTTGAAATCAGGACCCTGTGTGAAGCACAGATAAAGTGCTGTGTAAAGTAAATGTCTAATAAACGGTCAGGTGTCGGTGCAGTATAGTATGTTGCAGTGTGGCTTGATAACCACTATTGTACACCGATCAGCCAAAACATTAAAACCACTGGTGGGTGAAGTGAAAAACATTGATCATCTTGTTACAATGCAATGTTCTGTTGGGAAACTTTGGGTTCTGACTTTCGTGTGGATGCCACCTGACACGCTCCACCCACTTAAACACCAGTGCAGACCAGGTACCCCCCAGTAGCAGTGGACCCCCAGCACGACAGTGTGTTATGCCACACCACAAAAACTGCTCAGGAGTGGCCCAAGGAACGTGACAAAGAGCTCAAGGCATCAACCTGGCCTCTGAATTCCCCAAATCCCAATCTGATCAAACATCTGTGGGACATGCTGGTACCCCACCTCACAACCCATGGGACCCAAAACTTCTGAAGCTAACGCCCTGGTGCCAGACACTATAGGACACCCTCCAGAGGTCCTGTGTTCATGTCTTAACAGATCAGAGCCAAGTCCGGTCCAAGGAGGACCCACTGTGGATCGGGGGTACCTCTGGGGTACCTGCACGTCCCTCCAATATTTGATCAGGTTGGGATGTGGGGTATTTGGAGGCCAGGTCAATGCCTTGAGCTTTTTGTCCCGTTCCTCGGGTCATTTCTAAGCAGTTTTTATGATGTGACATGGTGCATTGTCCTGCTGGGGGGCCACTGCCATCGACAAGTGCCATTGCCATAAGAAGATTTACTTGGTCTACAACAGTGTTTGGATGGGTGGAGCACATCAGGTAGCATTTACATGAATGCCAGGACCCAAGATTTCCTAGCAGAACATTGCACTGTAACAAGATGATCAACGTTATTCACTTCACCCACCAGTGGTTTCAGTGTTTTGGCTGACTGGTGTATATTGTTAATGTTAATGAAATAGCTTGACATTTTGGTTTCTCTTTAGCTTATTGTAACTGAGTCAAAGGTAAAATTCATATAATTCAAGGGGTTTCATGGGGTTTATTCTATATCCTTATCACAATGTAGTGCCTGCATTTTAGTTCCCACTATATTAAAGCTGTAAAGCATGAAAGCAAAATGTATTTATCTACAAGTACTTTTCTAAACAGAAACTACAAGACTGGAAGCAGAGAAAACAGGAAGTCTGGTGCTCTCTAAAGTTAAAAGATATACATTTCCAGCCTCCTAGAAATTTTGTTCACGTAAAACTATTCGGAAACTGCAAATAAGTTCTGAGAGAAATGTAATGCTGAGCAAATAATGTTGCTAATTAACGTACCTTGCAAGTCGCAAAAATGTTGACACTTAATATATTAACATTTAAGTGAAATCCTGATCTTTCTCTTTGTCAAGTCAAGGTCCTGCTCTTTGTGCGCTCGCAATTCTCCCCAACCACCTCCAACTGAAGACTGAGCAGTACAGCATTTCGTCACCAGTTAGAAACATTGTCTCTGAGCCTAATCCAAGCTGCTGCAGCGACATAATTTAAAAAGCAGTTTAGCAACATAGAAACTTACCTCCTAAGAGACGGGTTTCACATATCAACACCTGTAAAGTTAACTGGCAACCTTACTTAGGCAACAAGACTGGGAAGTCCCTATGCCTGGCTGTTGCAGCACATAATCTCCCATGAAACTGTAGAGTTCATACTATTGTTTGTGGAATAAAGAAACTAAACTCTCAGACACACAACAAATAAAAGTACAACTAGTTCAACTTGTCCTTTAATGAGACTCAATAACAAATGAGAGCTTCATGTAAATACTCTTTGAGAAGGACGCCCATCAGTCCCTTCCACAGGTCTGCGGGGATTTCCTGGTCTTCTAGCTTGCTGGTTTGGGAACCAAGGGGGCATCTCAAGAAGCTACCCCAAACACAAGAAGATACCACTGATTATCTCCCACCACCAAGTCACCACAACTACTTAACAACTATACGACTTGAAACAACACGTACCCATGGGTGGCCAGCGTCCCAGTCAGACCCGTGTTCTTGGGCTTCTGTCACCGGCTTCTTGCTGTCACCCAGCTACACAAACAGGTAATTCAATGAGAAAAACTTCACAGATGGTAAAAACACCTCTATACCTGTGTGTCTATGCATGTCTATTCCGTATTACCTTGGGTTCTGCATCCAGCTGAGCGGCGACAGCTGACAAAAGTAAAGCTGCAATACACAAGTGCTGCATTGTGTCTGAAGAACCTGCAAGAAAATATTAGATGTTAGTGCCTTAAAACAAACCAGACATTTCCCAGCAAGTTTTCTGTATAGTACACTCACCTGTGCTGTTTAGGTATATGTTTGGCCCTTTGTGCATTGATACTTATAGCAGTCATCAGACATTGAGAAACACCACATATTTCTCCAAACTTAGTCACGCCTAATTATGTGCAAACTGCCATTACCCCACACATTGTTTGTTAATAATTTCTTAATTGACTATGATCCCTTTTTGTAGCAACAGCGCATGACGATAGCACGTGATGACCGGCAGCGATGATTAATTATATTTAAATAGAACTGGAAATGGAAAACCTCTTTAGATTGCTTTAAATGCATCTTCTGTACATACTTCTATGTGTAGAGGCGAGAATAGCAGCAACTAATTTCCAAAAACAAAAGGAGCCAAGAATGCATGCTTCACTGGGTGTTGCCTGTTACCTGCCAAAGCCACTAAGTCAGCTGATTTGTAATTTTAAGACAAGGTGTTGGGTGTTCCCATGAGTGATATCTGTTTCCAGACTTACCAATGTAGAAGGGTGGAGAATAAAGAACCCACATAGCAGTGGTAATAAAAATGCTCTCTGACTAAAACTGATACTTAGAGCTCAATGTCAGGCAAATCCAATGGACTGTGGCATATTCTTTACGATGTGAGCTATTTAATGAACCATACAACCCATGTGTGGTTTCCCTCTCTGATCGTTAGCCACACCTCGGCATGTGAAGTGGAAGATTTCCTAACATCTGTAATTTCCCAGCAATGCTGTCTGCTAATGAGATGGCGTCCACTCCTATAACTGTATATAAGAAAAGCATAACATTCAGAGCAGCACTACAACAACCTCCTAAACCATCGGCAAGACTGTCTGCTGAAGCTGTGAAGACCTGAAGGTGATTATACGAATCTTCTGCTCCTGTCTCTCCTGTGTGAGGTTGGTGGTGATTTTGCTGATACCAATAAGGACTTTATTATTTCTTTTGAACAGGTGTAACCATGCTGAGGGTAGCACTTGTGCTTGGATGCCTCCTGAGCCTTGCTCTGGCTCTTCCTGTAAGTGTAACATACTCGATACCAGTGTTCTGACATCACTTTAACTGTGATAGCGTAACGCTGGTGATATACAACTTGTGGATTTTCCACAGATGGAGCGCAAACGACTTGCCCGATCTTACTCTGGTGATAGCTCTGACTCGAATTCCAATGAGGTAAGTGCTTTCTCTATCCTCTACAATTCAACATTCAACACATCTGAATGTCAGTAACTGTAAAAATCATTTTTAAAAAATCCTCTTATGTGTATTTGACAATGAATGTTTCCGATTTCCTTGAAGGTTTACAGGCCATGGTATCCCACCTACCACCAACAGCCTAGTGCTCAAGACTGGCTCAACATCTTGAAACTGTGGGCTAGATTCTTCAATCAACGAATTACTACTCCCACTAAAGCACCTACTACTGCTAAACCTACTACTGCCAAACCTACTACTGCTAAACCTACCACTGCTAAACCTACTACTGCCAAACCAACTACTGCTAAACCTACTACTGCTAAACCTACTACTGCTAAACCTACTACTGC